AGGTTGTTCCTGGGCACTTCAATAAAAACATTGATTGATTTATTATTATTATATTATTATTATTATTATTAATATTGCTATCTAGTTTATTCACGCCGGCCTGTAAGGCATTCTGTTGCACCTCTAGGGATGGGTGAACTGACCACATTGTGACATCCAACGTAAATAAAAAAAAAAAAAAAACAAAAAAAACAACGATAGGTGTTGTATACCAGCGAGAGCCCAGAGAAGGGAAGGAATGGAATGTTAAATAGGAGTGGTGCAAGCACTGAGCCTTGGGCCACGCCACAGTTTGATGGGAAAATTTACGGCTTACCATGTGATAGGCGGACAGCGAAAGCTCTGTCGATAATAAAGGCGTGGACAGCATTTATGACACGAGGTGGGAGGCCGAGGGCCACCAATGCCTCCAGCAGTGGGGCGTGAGCGATATTGTCATAGGCCTTTAATATATCGATAGCTACAAGTGTGCGAACCCAGTGGCTATAGAGTGACAGATGTCGGACTTCCGTGGCAAGGCGGTCGAGGCAATCGTCCGTTCAAGGATGTTGCCGTAATCCAATTTGGTTGGGGTGATAAAGACAATGGGCCTCCAGCCACCAAGAGATACGTTTAGGCATCATCCGCTCATAGATTTTACAGATGGTCGGAGTCACTGATATAGGCCGCTGAGCTGTGAGGCCGGTAGGTGCCTCGCCCGGTTTGGGAATCGGCATTACAATCGAGTGCTTCCATGATGTGTGGAGCTCGCCGGATTCCCAGATCTTATTGATAATAGTTAGCAGGTATGTGGTTATCTCTCCCTCGAGGTTATTTTACACCTCGTATGTGAGACCGTCATGTCCTGGAGCAGAGTGGCGACTAGAACTCTGAATGGCGTCTTCGAGCTGAGCCAGAGTGAATGGCGTAGTAATGCCGGTAGTGTCTGGCATAGCCGTGGCAGGGCGTGCGCCCAACGGGCTGACATGACGAGAGAAAACGGTATCCGCTACGCGCGCCGCAAACTCATCCTCGGTGAGCCCCAGACGCAACTGGATATTACCAGTCCGGCCTTCAGCTTGGTGAGGTCGTTACATACCGTGGAATGTCCGCCAAAGAGCCTCAGGGTGCTTTGGGTTACTCAATGAGGCACGTCAGTCAAGCCAGTGTTGGCGTGCAAGTTGTTTCTCGTGGAGGCGCGCTTTTGCTGCCACGTGAGAAGTCTCATCCTGAAGTTGGTGCCCGTCGGAGTGTATGGCCACCAATGTGACCGCTTGAAGTCACTGTTGCCACAGGCGAAAGATGTGGCGATCATATGTCTGTTGATCACAGTGCATCGCGGTAGTCGTGGTGCATTCCAACATGGCTTCTTTGATGGCTGTCTGAACCGTGTCTGGGTTCGGCGCCGTGATGATAAGAGATGTTACATTCAATGACCTGAACTTGCTTCCGGAGGCGGTTATATGCCATGGGGAACCATTTGATAACGATCGGGAAATGGTCAGTTCCTCAAGTGTCGTCTTTAGTCCTCCATGCCAGATGGTCAGTTCCAAGCCACAAGTTGAGGTCCGGAGCGCTGGACGGGTTTCCCAGGGGAGTGGGACCTGGCAAGTTAAGAAGATGAAATCCGCGTGCGGTCAAGCGATCGTGTACTTGACGGCCTCGAGGGGAATCCTGCTTGAACCCCCCCCCCCCCCCCCCCCCCCCCTTCGTGTTTGGAGCATTGAAGTCCCCACCCACGATAATAGGTATTTTTGAATAGAGCGAGAAAATGTGTTCAAGCCACCAGAGATTATGACGCACATTTCCAGGTTTTCCGTAAAAAGAGACTCTCACAACACAATTTTAGCGTGTCTGGACGTGGACAGCCACTACATCCTGGCGGGACGTGAACCATTCTGATAGGTCTATGGAGGCGTGCTGAAGATGATCTTTGACATAGATTGCCGCTTGCCGGGCCAGGAGGGCTTGGAGTTGGAGGTCGTTAAATGCCGGGCATCAGGAATGCACGGTGAATGATAGCCGCAGTACATTTGAGTTCCAAAATGTTATTGTACAAGGATGAGCTATTGATTGATCAGGTAATACAAGATTCTAGTGCTCAGTTCTCCAATCATTTGGTGGATACTGCGACAATTCCACTGTAATATGTGGAGAGTAGGGGCTGGACGACACTTCACTGTTGACTCATCCATTGCTGGAGGATCATAAGGACGGCATCTAGGGAAGATCGCATTGCAGCGATTTGACTTGTAATTCTGTCCAGTGCTTTGGCCACGGACAGCGGTTACCTCAGCAATGTTGACATTTTCTGCCGCTGAGGGTGACCGGGTCCCCTAATCAAGCCGCAAGGTACGAGACGGCATGTTGTTCGCACCCCTGGGTTGATGAAGACTGCTGGATTCTTGCGAAGCTTCATGTAGGGCTTGAAACGAACATTGCGATTTGGCTGTCGTTCGTGGCAGCCGCTGACGTTTCCTGATGGCTTTGAACATCGCTGCGTATGAAGGTTGCGGTGCCTCGAGGCCGTCATTTGATGATACCGGGTGATCGTTTTTCTCCTCTTCCCCTTCTTCGGCTAGGACTTGGAATTAATTCTGCGTCAAGTCCAATGCTTTGCCGGGATTAGGAGTGGTCTTGGCGATCTTGCGGGATCTAGCAGCCCCCAACTTCTTCTTTCTCGGACACTTCGGGGAGACAATTGAGTAATTGTTAGAGCGGCATAGGTCACACTGGTATCGCGAGCTGCCGTCAGCGTTAACCAATTCAGGGTTCACTGTATGTACAGTTCAGAAGGCCTTCATGTGTCCGGGCTGGGAGCAACTGTAGCAGATAACCGTAGATGGCTTGTATTCTTGTGGGCGCAGGATCGCCCCGAGGTGATAGATGATTTCAGGTATTTGTTGCTCACCTTGAACGGTTAGGAGCTATGAGTCTCCCTTGCCTAGTCGGCGAATAGCCAGAATTCTGCGAGATGGTGTATGGACATCAAGTAGAATATTTGATCAGGATGGTCAGGTACAACCCTTCTCACTACACACCGATGGACGTTCGGACCTGAAGCGAGATCCGCTTGCACCTGCACGGCTCGATTACCTTGGTTTTGAATAGTCAACAACTTTGTTAGCTGGAAGGCTTCCTCTAGGGTGGAGGTGTACGCCGTGGCAGAATCGATGGCTTGTGATGATTACGTCCTTGATAAGCGATGGCAGAGATGAGCGCAAAGATTACTGCCTCAATGTCCCGCGTCGTCACTACATGAAAGGTCGTTTACTTCCGAGTCCGGATGTTCACCTTGCACATTTCTGTAGGTTTCTTTTGGGCCGACGCTGTGTTCCCAGCTCGGGGAATCGAGCACGTTGCCGAAACGCTGAGTCCGGTCGTTTGCAGTCCCACTTCATCCGTTTTCATTGTATTGATTTGTAACTGCGGCGTCGACGGCAAGGTCTCACCTCAGGTGAGATTGGAGCCGAGGCCGACATCATGCGTAGGCTTAGCTCGTGTGAGCTAAACTTCGCCGGGGTGTCATTGGAATATGTGGGCCCGGGTGTCGAGATATCTCCCGGCCTGGGGCTCCCTGTGCTTCCTTTCTTCACTTTGGGTAATCGGAGTCCCGGAACGGTAGTTTCGAGCTCGGTTGAAGCCGACTTTCTTTTCAAAGATGCGAAAGCGACGAAGCTCTTTATAGCCTATCACACGCACCGCAGCGCGATCTGATTAAGAATGTTTACCTGAATTCCCCCCAAAAACCTTCGCTAAACTCATGAAATTGAAAGTATACTGCAAAATTATAACTCCAACATTATAAAACATTATCTGAAGTTAGTGAGCACAATTCCAGGGATCCATCTAGCATTTGTAATTCAGGATTAGTAGTCATAAGTTACTAACGACGTTTTACTTTACTCACTTATGAAACCGAGATATTTAAGAAATGCAGCACAAGTGGATGACTGGTCTCTCGTCCGCCTTTCGGCTAGGCAGTTGTACCGTGGAAACCGGATCGCAACGGCTTAAACAATTTTATCTAATAGGAAGCTATGCAGCCTATAAAGAACAGCTTGCAGTCAAGTTTACTCATGTTCTTTGTGTACGGGTTGGCAGTGAGGCACACACTTCGAAGCGATTAATATTTAATGTAAATTGCGGCAAAAGGGGTGTGACGCTCATGTCACCCTCTAAAGTACGCACGTTTTATTGAGCAGTTAAATAACAAATGAGTGAGCAATAGTGCATTAGTAAATAGATCAGTGTTTTAATTAATTAATTTCACAGGCCCACCTAAAAGGTTTTCCGCACCTGTATCATACTGCCAGGTTTTCGTTACACCGACGGTAGCAATATGCAATACTGCGTAAATCAAAATATTACTTCTTCAACCTGCATAAATGTAATTATATTAAACAAAACTTAAAGGGATGGTGAACCCAACATTTAAGTATCTATAATAAGCGGCGCCAGGCACGTTGCCAGGGGGGGGGGGGGGGGACACGGGGCCTGCCCCCCCCCTTCCTGAAATCCTCCATTTTGCTGGGGCCTCCTCTCCCACCTCCCCCTCATACAGCCTTTTGTCATGGGCGGGCCCCCCCGAAAAAAAATCCTGACTACGTGCCTGAGCGGCGCACTATCTCTTCATGAGTCAGCGGTCCCTGGTGTGCGCGAGCACACGCAACGAAATTGGTGTCATCATATCTCCCCATTCACGCTTAATAAGCTCGAATAAGGGATATGATGACGTCAATTTCGTTGCGTGTGCTCGCGCACACCGGCGGCTGCTGACTCATGGAAAGATAGTGCGCCACTTATTATACAGACACTGAAATGTTCGGTTCACCATCCTTTTAAAGCTTCGTATTAAAACTCAGGAATTAATTATAATGCCTACAACGTTGGCACAGTACTCTTGCCAGCAGCGAAACTGCACTCAGGTAAATTAGGGTAATTCCTAAGAAAACGTTCTCACTCGCTCAACTCCGTTTATTAGTCACATTCATCATATGTCGCACGTTTTTATCTTCTAGTTACAAAGTATCCTTGTGGTCCTACTATTCAAAGGACGCAAATGCATTTTCCCGAACGCAAATTTCACTTTTGGATCAGCAAGGTAACCTTGTTTCTTTGAGTTTTTTTTAGGAGTTGTTAAGTGTGTTGTATTGTGTTACAGCAGAGGTCTTCAACCTCTTTGGAAAGAGGCTGGATCCGGGGTCTGTCGCTGTCTCCAGGGCCGGAAACTAAATAAATGAACAAATAATCAGATATTTTTTACTAGACAGCAAGAACAAAAGAGTAAAAGTTAGCATACGAATAAAAACAAAACAGTCAGAGCCAGATGCATACATATACTTGATTTTAAAGTTCAATATTTAACTAATTATATCATATTGCTCATAAATTCGAACCGAGAAAACTCACCAGGCATAAATGAAACGCATAGGAACTTTGAAATATTCACACCGGCTACAAGATTAATGACACTGATAAGAGATGATGACAATTTGCAATTCATACAAAAAAAATTGGGTTGTGTGTATGTTTATACAGCCTAGAACTTGGTCTGCCTCACAGGGGCGACGAGTCTCCCAGCTGTAGATGAGAAATTTAGCCAGTGCGGTACAGCCGCTAGCCTGGGGTCTTTAACGTGCACCACGCAGTAGGGATACACGACCGCACGCCGGTACGATGCTCATCCAGATCGAAACGGGCAGGGGTGGGGCTCGAACCCAGGATCCCTGGGTTCTGCAGCGCGAGCTTTCGCTCCACGTGCTCCGAGCTGGTGTGCGCTAGACCAACACAACACAGGAGACTAAGCGCAATATACGATGGAACGCAATTTTTTTTTATTATACATAGTTACATAGATATAAAAGAGGGGCTAAGAATGGTAAGGTTGGGGATGATATATTTAACGAATAATATGACGGGAAGGCAAGTCTTATGATAACCAGTTTTCTTTCGTTTTTACTGCGCATCTTCGTTCATGCGGTTCATGAGCGTTGTGGTGCCGTTTTTTTACAAGCGTTTATTTTTGCGCCGGTAGCCGCAGGTCTGCTGGAATCGGGCCATGGACTATGGGCCGGGCTTTATTAAAACAGGCCGTCCGACCTGAGACCAGCCGCGTGCTGAGTTTTGGACACCCCCTTTTCACAGCGTTAGCTGTTATGGGGCCCATAACACACCACCACTGGAAATGACGTCCGTCGTTATTGTAGCTGTCGTAGTATGGCGTAGGCCGTAGGACTCCCCTCGTCAATATTGCCAGCTGCTTGGAAGCCCTAAGATTTATCTCCAATCGATACGGGGGCCCGCATTATCATCTTAGATAATGCGGCGCCAGGCCTTGTGGCTTTATCGCATTATCATCTTAGATAATGCGGCGCCCTTGACGCTTGCGAGCTGGCAGTCCATTCCTGTTTTGAGCTGTGCTACAAGCGCTCAGTCCTGGCAGCCTGCATATTACTGCTCCGTCCTTGAGCGCTCGTTCACATGCACTTTTGTCTTTTCTTCCTTTTTTAATCATATCCGCACCATTACATATTTCTATGCAATTCAGGCTGACAGAAACTAGTTATTTTAAGTAATAGTATACTACTAATATTATATGCATTCCCTGTGTTCGTCATAAACAAAATTTTGATCTTTTTGTAGCTGGTACGGACTCCAGCCTCATGCGAGTGCGACGGGTGCTGCTGTCCAATTTCCAGAACTGCTACGTATTCAAATCAGTAAACGACAAAAACAGAACTCCTCGTAAGTCTTCTAATTACACAAATTTTGGACTGTTTCTAAATATTGATCTGAGTACAAAATGTTGCAGCCTTAAAAATCGAGTCAGCAAAGCCGCGCGAAGAGTAACGTTCTCCAAAACAAAATTGTCTATTCACGTAATCATTGACTAAATTTGTGCCCCATAAGTAACCTAAATTACTTTTCGTATAAGAAATTGCCTACTGCATGCATGTGTGCAAAATATATTAGTTCTTTGAGGTTGAACAGGTCACTTCGAAATCGCAATCATTACGTATTAGCCCTTATGTACGATATTTTCTCATCCCCAGTAGAAATTATGTTATTAGAATATGGTCCCAACTATCAGATTACTAAAAATCAAGAGCCATGTTACGACACACCATTTCTTTTGCTTAGATGTTCAAGAGCTATTTTGTTTTTAATATTTATTTTCACTCGCAGTCAGCTCTACTAACACCCGTTTTTTATCTTATGCATTACAGTTTGTGAGTTTTTTGTAAAGAATAATACCGACATCACCACTGGCTTGGATGAATGCTGGTTCACATTCCTCGCATACTGTGGATATCCGAAGGCAATGTACAAAACCAAAAGCTGTTACTCACTTGAATGAGAAATGGCTAAACTCGGCAAAACTCCATGCTGCAGAACCTCTTTGAATGGCGCTTGGCACAAGACTACTTCTAATGATTCTAGCACCAATCTAACATGAAAATATGTTCCCAACCGGTTTTCAGTACTGTGATGTTGACTGACAACGCTTTAAAATAAAAGGTGATTACATGCAAAACTCATGAATAAATTATTCAACGATGGTTACTGTTCCTGTATTAGAGAGTTTAAGGGAACCGTTTTTGCATATCCGATACGGTAGGATGGGCCCTCCGTAGGAGCTGGGCATATGCTACCGCAGAAAACTCGCACGCACGCAATTCTTACCGGGCGGCGTGTCGTACTGTACCGGATGTGGAAAAACGGTTCCCTTAAACTCTGTATTATGTGCGCTAGGTACACACTGAATATTAATTAGCACAAAAGTTTTGCGAATCTAGGTGACAAACATGTTTAATCGGCAGATGCATATGGATCGTTCGTTTAACCGCAGGCCATCTAAAATATGTATAACACTGTTCAAGTAATGCGCACCAACAATAAAAATGAATTCATTAACGGTATCTGAATGAATACGACTATGCGGAGAGCAAGTTTGTCTGCTTCTTGCACAAGGGTTGCGATAATGTTAGAATACCAGGCTCTTATTGGCTGATTTAAAATATCAAAAATAGTGGATAGATCCTCGAGACATCTAGCTTTAAAGAGATGCTGAACCGAAAATCAAGTTTCAGAAAACAATGCAGAATCGATAGGCGGGACGCTTCAAATCCGAGTGCGTCACTCATAAAGCTGTATCTCCATCGGATAGTCGTATTTTTGTAAAAGAAGAACGCGCTCGGCACAAGGCCGAAAAGACGCGTGACCTCGCGATTCTCATTTCCTTCTCTTTTCAATTTAACTCCTTGATGGCGCGGAGAGGAAGGAGGTAAGTGAGGCCGTTTCTCCTCCTACTCAACGCTTCTGTGATAAGATGACGTCAACATTCTCCCTCATTCGCTCCTTTATTTTCCAGCAATACTGCCACCCGCTTTAGATATGGCTATGTGAGTGATCTTTCGTGGTTTATGGCGCCCTGTTGAACACTTCTGCAGGCTTATTTTGTAAAATAAAAGTTTCGGTTCAGCATCATTTTTAAGTCTACCCACTATCCTTTTAAACAAAGCCAATCAAAGCTCGGTGTCATTCTGACGTCACGAGCAACTGCTGCGCGAAAGGCAGACGTCTTGCTGTCCGCATTGTTTTGATGTACATAAATTCGGCCTTACTAAAAATAATGCCTAGCAATATGAAGGCTTCAGAGCAGAAATATATCATTCAGTGAAGTGTGGTGGTTTAGAAAACTCATTATCATTGGGCTTAGTTTCGTGATAATATTAATTAATTTATTTCATCGGTAAGGAACATACTTTGAGGTCATTACATATGGACGGGGCAATACAATGAACGTTACAAATCAACGAAAAAAACAACAAAAACAAACAAACGTTAAACGCACTTCCGTTATAAAACGGAGTTGGGAACAATGTAACATATTGCTAGTCTAAATATAAATTGCAAAAGTACTATAATTTATGTTGTGTTTCATGCACAGGGTCAGTAATTGATTTATTTTGATGTCTGAGCAGAATCATTCAAAATCAAGATCCCCGAAGTTCAATGTAAGCAACAATTGCTGCACGTTATCACAGTAGTACACGAAGGCGTCGTGGGCCAAAGTAACAGTGGGGTTCAGCCGTCACACTTATATAATTTTGTTTTTTATAAATAACCCCTGTTCTCTACCATGCGATGCATTATTAGGCTACCATACTTATTTTAGCGATTTGGCAAGAATGCTCCTTTGACTGCATTGCCATTAGTTTCGCATTCTGAACTACTGACTATTTGTTCAGTATGCAGCTCATCACACTATACCTGAGGTCGACCCTGGTTGAACACAAAGGGAAGATCTTCACCCAAAAATCAGGCGTCTGCATAGGATCCTGCTGGCTCCAGTTCTCAGTGAGATATACTTGTCAGCTGTGGATGTGGCGGTGAAGAGGGAGCTCAGTGTCGCGACTCCGGGAACCAAGATCTTCAGATACGTCGACGATTACCTCCTGCTTCACGACCGGAACGCGGATGGTCTGCAGTTTCTTGATTTGCGCCTACAACCAACACCAAGCGGCCTCTGCTGGAGCTTCTAGCAGCGATCCCAGAAGCCGGTACTCCCCTTCGCGAGCGACCACTCAAAAAAATGTAAAGTCGGGCATTGTAAATAGCCTTCTCTTCTCTTCCTGCACAAAATCTTGCCTCCACCTTTCCCAAGCGAGCCTAACTACCCACATAAATCGCACCAAAAAAGCCGGTTACTCGCGTGACCTCATTGCAACCACCTTAAATGGCTTAAATCTCCATGTCTTCCGTCGACCGCAAAAAGCCACCCAGTCCAAAAAAGTTTTCGGTGACGCCGTATTACCACAACACCTCACGCCGCCTCAGGGCAGTTGCCCGAAGGTACGACGTCGATGTCGAATTTTCTTGCCAGTTTAAGCTGGGTTCTATCATCCATGTGTCGTCTCGTAAATGACCCCCGCCCTCCCAGTCCGGATGTTCCAAGAAGCACGGGACTAGCTTTGTTCCCTGTGAGTCGGGGCGCGTTTACACCAATCCTTTGTCTTGCGGCGTGGAGTATATCGGCCAGACATTGCGCCGCGTTAACGACAGGCTACGCGAACATGAGAGGGAGGTCGACGGGAGGGAGTCACAACACCCGGTTGCCGTCCACAATAGGGCCTGCTCCTCATGTCGCACTGGATTCTCTTCGGCAAGAATCCTAGGTTCTAAACGAGGTCGCTACGGCCGAGAGACAATTGAGTCCTACTCCTACACGATAATGCAGGCATCCCGAAATATCTCGGCGCCCTCTCTTTCTTTTTCCACGAAGGACGCGCCCTACCGTCGACCGCAGTTGATGGCCTTAACAAGAACACCACGGGCCTAGGTTGTCCGTCCGGTGATTTCGTTTCAAGCGGCTTCGCTTCTATGCGGCTTCCTCTCCTGGCCTTTCTTCTACCCTGCGAGTAATTGTCCTGTCTGCTTCGCCTTTATCCTCGCCCTATCACCCCTCACATTTCCATGTTCCTGCTTTTCGCCCTCCCCGTTTCCGTCTCTGAGTCTCTTGGGCCGGTTGCCGGTGCCTAATAAAGCTATTTGTGCTAAAAGTCGAAAGAGGTGCTGCCCTGTCGACCGTCCCTATGTTTATTCTTTCTGTTTTCATTCTGCTGGTTTACATGGTGTACGTTTACGTACCTCTAGCTGGCCGTCCATACCCGCAGTATAGACGGTAGATTGAGTGGCACGGCGTGTTGTACGTCGTGTATGAAATGCTTGAGGCAACGAAGAGCTCGCAAACTGAAACGACACATATCAAAAATGGTTAGATTCCCTTTTTAATTTATTTTAACTAGTTTAAATTTGTTCATGCGAAGTCACGTGCTTCTTATGCACTCGACGTTGCTATGTCTTATCTATATTTCACTTGAGGTCCGACCGAATCCGGCGCTACAATCCGATGGAGGCAACCAAGCAGCGCCAAATGCGCATCGTCTCGGCGCTCGTTGCCTATAGGGTGTCACAAGTCACCAAACTCGATATAAAATTGGCCGTAAGAATCGGCACCTGCACGCAGCAATCCAAACTTTTCGTCAAATGTGTATTTCACAGGTCTGTTTTATCATGCAAAATTGCGAAGTGTCGCTTTTTTTTTTTAACACTCTGTGGGATTCGACTTGTTTTACTGCACCATGAGGTCGATCCCACTCCATACATCGATGTTGAGGACTGCTACGGCCGGGTCCCTTCGGAGGTCGCCGCGGACTCCGAGGAGAGGAATCACTCCGAAACACAAAGATACTGAAGAAGTGGGTTTATTCGGCTCTGTGCCACCACGCTGTGCCCGTCGGCCAAACTGATAAAATAAAAAAAAAATAAAACGGAACAATGTCGGCGCTGTCGCATTAGACAGATTCACTTGGAGGGGGCCCACGCTGCCGCATTAGGCATATTCGTGGACAGGGGAAAGCTCCAAAAAGAACGAGGCTCCGTGGTCCAGAGCCTTCCCCCGACGAGAGCCACGGCCGCCGTTCGTGGCCGCTTATCTAGCCAGCGAAAAATGGCCGCGCCCGGGGTAGGTGGTGTGGCTTATCCCGCAGATGGGCCGCGTCCATGATCATTTCCAAGGGTGCGCCGGAGGCACATTCACCCAAAAGGGCGAGGGAAGACACGCCCTCTTCGAGGAATCCGGCTTTGCCCCGTATCCGGGATGACGTCGCCATAACGCTCCCACGGCCTGTGTGTGCTAGGCCTAGATAGGGAGACGGGAAACACGTGTTTCCCACAACTCAAATACTCTTGTAGACAAATCTTCCAACCCTGAATTGGAACATATATTACGCTGCGAAAAGAGGTAAACCTGGCTTCAGAATAAAAATAAAAAAACTTGTATAGATTTCTTGCACAAACAACAGCTCTAGGTCAAAAGGAACATCGGACCACTACTTTTTGCTTTTAAATACACTGCTTTGGTAGTCTCTGGCCAGAATTCAGTTATTACATGCGCCTACTAAGTCAACCGTGTTGGTACAGTGATGTGTACGTAATACTGTTTTCATTCATCCTGTATCATGTGATTCTTCATATGTATTCATCATAAATATTCTATCTTGCGGGGATATTCCTATCAGTCACAATTTTGTGCTTAAATGTAAACCCTTTTAATCTCGAGACTTCGTTATACACGTATACCATATTCTTGCATTTTACACAAATTATTGTATGCAAAAATATTTTGCGAGCATCAGAAAATTGGCTCCTCAACCCGAATGTTGTTGACAGTTGTCATTTAGGAAAATGGACACGCTTGCATCAAAAACAACTCGTTGCTATGACTGTAAATCCACGCGTGTCGCCTTGTCTTCCGTGCTCTAGCACGGCCTCGATGGCCTTGTCGTTCTGTCA